AGCTGTCCAAAGTAAATTTCTTGCCAAAGCACTCCAAGGAGTTAGAGCTTTACTATCTTTGTTTTATAACAATGAGATTATTGCTTCTATACACTGCAGATGTTTAGAGAGATGAAAGGAGGATAAGTACTTTCAACTTCTTTTTTAATCTTGGGTCCAAGTTAAGAGTATAAAATAAAATTTATAGGAGGTCATTGGTTTGGACCAAGCTTCTGCACTACACCCAACAGACCAAACCAAAATGGAGTTACGCTGTCATGCCATCACCAAGCCAAAACTAAGTTGTTTATCTGACCTTCCGAGAAATAGGAGACAGAGAACAGCCAAAACCCCAAACAGGCCAGTTTGCTTTAACCCTTACAAAAAAGTAACCTGAAGTAATCTGATTTATCCAATCAGTTATTTTTCTGTTCGGTGTCCTTTTTCCCCATCTTGCTAAAACCACTGCCCTGTCAATTGCCTGGTGGGAACTCTTTTTCTATATGGTAAAACACATTGGCCCAATTCATGACTTGCAGATTAGATCTATAGCTAAATTTGATGTAATTTTGTCTTTTGATGAAGTTTTAATTTCTAATATTTTCTTGTTTTTTTTTCTATTTTTCTTTGTTTTCCTTATTGCTATTTCTTAGTGATTTTTCAGAAAAACAAGGATTTTTGTTTTTGTTTTTGTTGTGGTTTCTTTTAACGTTTATCCTGCAAGACTTCAAATTGATTTAAAGGGCTCTGGAGTGGATGGGATTGCTTTTCTGCCCAGAGGGCATAAACTTTTTCTTGGGCAAACTTCCCACTGACTTCCCAAAATAGAAAATAGTTAAGTGTGGCTTAACATGTTTTTCATCTAAATAGATTTTTTGACATGAATTCATATGTGAGTCTTTTTAATGCTGTTCTTTTTTTCTGTAACAATTTGCAGAGCATTAAGCATCCATTCCTTTTCTCATTATACTAACTACCCAGATGAAAAGTTTCTCTGAGGTGTAATATTCCTAATAACACTAGCCCATATTTACTGGACATTAACTTAGTGTGAAGGACTAGTATACCTTTGTATTGTTCTCATTTCATAGGGAAAGCATTGGAGACTCACAACAGTTGAGAGGGCATTCACTTCCTCATGAACTCAGAACTCAATAGCTCTTCTTTTTCTTCTTACTGCTATTCTTTTCTCCATCTTTTCATTTCCCTCCCTCTCCCTCAACAGTTCCCTAAGGCTTCAGTTCTTAAAGTCAAAAAGAAATAAAAATAAAGCCAAGCCAATGTGATGACTCATTCATAAGCCAGGCAAAATTTTGCTTTAATACCGCACAGTCTATAAGGGTAATTTCAAGACAGTTTACTTTTTCTCCCATAGAGTTAGCATGATAAAGCTGCTTTCTTGAGCAAATATAACTGCTCCTATAAAGAAAGCACACACACACAAACACACCCACACTTTCTGTGTTGGGACTGCCCATTTGGAGCTTTCCAAGGCTACATTAAGGACAACCACACTACAATTCTCTCTTCACCACTTCCTCCACCTGGAAAAACCACATGAGGCAGAATCATGAGTGTGGTTTCATCCACGGCTTTCTTTCTCATGGCTTGAAAATGTGCTTTTACTGGAAAACACTCTGCTAAATCCCAGAGCTAACTACTTAGACTATATTGTTATTTAACAAAACAGAACTTGATGGTAATCATTCAATAAAAAGCTGACAGAAAGCAATCAAGTCTGGCAGCATTCCGCAAGTCAGGATTCACAAGTTTCTCTCATGGTCACATGCTTCCACCAAGAAGCAAGATAATTCACACCCAATATGTTGCTTAAGTAGGTCTAGATAGAGTGGCAAAGGGGAAAATATACAGACTGTGGAAAACTCAGAACCATGGCCAGCTAGCTAAATATCTTTGACGACTGTACATATAGAAGACAACACATATCATCCATGTTAGTCTCCTTGAAAACAGTCTCTGACCAATTGTTCAGTTTCAACATGAACACAGCCTTTAATGTTCACCCATTATTTTATCATCCATGATGTGAAATATGATTTAGATTCTGAAAAATTTTCAGTTTGGGGGTACATTATTTTATGATGCAAAGCATTCACAATAAAACCTTATGTGATTATCTCTCTGATAGAAGTGTTCTGAAAGGTAATCTATTCCCAGGTAAGAAAATGGACATTAGGGTTAACCAGAAAGATTAGCCTTCTTCATACGTATAAACAAGCAAGGAGTTGAATGTTAAAATAACAGGTTTGGTGAGATGAGTGTTAAAGAGGTGGAGGTGCTGGGCTAAAAGAGAGAGAGAGAGAAAATGACTTCAGATGAGTCACTCGACTTCACCAAGCTTTAATTTACTCAAATGAAAATGAGGATAATGATACCTGTTCTGATGAGGTCAGATAGGTTTCGTTGTTATGAGACCAAATGAGATGCTTTATATGAAAGCACTAAGCAACTATAAAATACTGTAATTCCACTGCAGTAACTTCCAATCACGAACTTCAGTGCAGAAAACAGTTTTTCTAAAAGAAAATCAGTTAAGAAAAACTGGTACTTGAAATTTATTTATGTAGCGTTTGTGGGTTTGATATTCCTAGAAACAATGTATGATTTTCAAAATAACATGGATGCACTCTCTTGGGCTGTAACATGATAATCATGTTTCCAAGAAAGCTTAGACTGTTAAGGACTGTTTTATAAACAATTGTTTCAGTGGGAAAAGTTGGTGACAGAGGTTAGATGATATCAGATTTACAATCGCAGTTATTTTGTGGGTAGACATTTTAGTAATTAGGTGATTCAGTCATTGAAGATGTATAAATTTAAGTCTAAACATCATTGAACGATTCCTTCATTTGATTACATCCATGTGTTATTGTGTAGAGAGAGGCCTTTGCTTTCCAATGGCTGCTAGCACTATCATTCATAGGCTTCTTAAATTTTATACCATTTTATCACTGTTAAGATGTTTAACGCACAAAGCTACTCAGTGTGTCTATACAGCCTGCACAATGACAATGGGTAATAGCCAATTACTGTTTTCTGGACAAATTCTATTCCAGAATAATTCACCTTTTTATATCCATTTAAAATAATATAACCTCTTCTTTAGAATAATGACTACATAGATTTGTATCCTAATTTTTAAAATAAAGTTAAACTCTTAAAAACACATTTCCCGGTTAGGCTAAATAGTCATCGTGGTGCTGATGATCATAAGCATAATAGTAACATGACAGCTCCTACTTAGTGAGTGCTTATTTTAGTGCTTCAATATCATGCCAATGCCACTCAGTGAAGGTCATTGAGTGTTGTGCTGCGTTATGGTGAAAGAGCACATCGGATCATCCCTTCTCAGTGGTTCAGCTACAGCCTATATTTCCCAGGCTATTGAATTGTAACCATAAAGCAGGGATCAAAATAACAGTAACAGTTCTCACTTTTGTATGTTTAACATATGCCAAACTTGCTGAACACTTTTTTCATAGATTACTGTATTTAATCTGTGCAAACATTCCCTAAGAGATAGGTTCTACCATGCTCACTTTGTAGATAAAAAGCCAGAGCTTCAGAAAGTTAAGTATCTTTTTCTAGAATATAATAGCTAGAAATTTGTCAAGTCATGATTTTTAACCCAGCTAGTTGTAGCTTCAAGGTTTGAACTCTTAACCATGACTACCTTTGACTTGAACAAAAGAAGTATTACAAATAATTTTGTGTTCTGACATAGCAGGGTTTTTCATTTCTTTTGAACATAGACTACCTTACAAGGGAAGGTACAAATTATAGAACAAAGAACCTTGTCAGATCTAGAGTTACAACTGTGTGTTCTCAAACTGAGCCACAGTCTGCTTCCTTGGAACATCTATCAGTTGATAGAGCGAATCAAGCTTCCTGAACACAATGAAAGGTAGATTTGTTCCTCATCACCCAGTATTTTCCTCACAAATACTCAAGGGAAGTATTCATACTTCATACTTCAGAACCAAGGAAAAGCAAAACCATCATGTGGTATTATCTGTTGAAGCTGTTTTACAGTTTTATAAACTGGACTAGGGAGAAATGTTTACATGTTGAAATACACACTTTGTAAGCTAAATAATGTGATGGAATGTATAAAAGAAAATGAAATAAAAATGCAAATGAAAAAATAAAATAAACATAAAAAAGAAAGAAAATCCAAAATGTATTTTTATGGACAATGAGAATTATGTAAATGATTCATTTTTCTTTTCCTCTAGCCACTTGGCAGCAACTTAAATTTACTGATGACCAAGACTGTGTTGCATTAATTTCTTCGTAATTACCTTTTTAGTCTCTTCTACCTTGATTTTCTATTTCTCCTATTTTTCTGTGTGAAAACTGACTTTAGAGACTAGCAGATGGCATGATGGTTACATCGCTGGACTCCCACATGGTGAACCACAGTTCAAGTCCTCAACTCAGCTTCAAACTTATGCCAGGCACATGTGTATGCATGCCCAAAATACTGAGAGGAGAATGGAGGAGAAGGGATTGCAGTACAGCCATCTTTCCTGGGGGGGGGGGGATTTCTCACTTTCTGTCTCTGTGGTGAGCACAAGCACCCTATAGTAAAAATCTATTTAAAAAAAAAAAAATGTAGCCTTTGCTATAACACAATTTAGTCCGAGTCAACCAGCAGAACTGAGTGGCTACAAATTCTGATTAATTCTCTTAATCCAGGACAACCACACAATTCGTAGTTCCTAATGCAAAATAGAATGCAATGAAGACAGCTCTACTCCAGCCCTGTATACACTTATTCTCACTTCCTCATTCTGTCAGTCTGCCCTGAAATTCACTACAAAATACCTACTTCTGCCTCTGGTATTTAAATCACACAGTCCAGCTCCTGTCCCTTCCACTGTAGGCTTCGGGGTGTCCAGTATAGTTAAAAATCAAATGCCTTCCCCCCACATCTCGTGGCATCTTGATTTTCTCTCCAATTTTATGGAATCCAATATCTGAGGTGCTACATACCTTCTTACCCAATTTGTCAGCATCTTGATATTGTAACTCAAAGTTGATCATGTGGTTCTCCATCTCTTCCTCTATCTTGGCCTTCAATTCCCTCATACCAAATGAGTTTTAGCCTTTCCAGAAGAAGAAAAAAAGAACAGAAAATTAATAGGAGGTGAGCGTTATTTTCACTGTTAGTCATCTGTTAATATCATACCTCTTGCTTCAGGTAGTCACTCTTCTTTTTCTTACCCCCAACACAACTGATAAATTCACCTTCATCTTTTTTAAAGGCACAAATAACCCAGAGCCTGTTCTGGACTTCAATGTTCCTGGTACTGTTCATAAGATTCCATTACCCTTGAGGCTTGCTATGGGTTTTGTGCTAATTTTTTATCTTTTGTGTCATTTCTAAGGTCCTAGATAATTGTATTTTTTGTTTAGTCATGTTACTTCTTGTGGATACACTAATTCCCACCCTCCCCACCTGTCCTTGTCAAAATCTTCTGAGACCCTAGGATGACTCAGAGTCTCAGCAGTGGTGTTCTGGCCTAGCTGGATCCCTGTGGAGGATGGCAGTTCCCTGGTCAACCTGTGCATACCAGATGCTTGAGCACATGATCCAGCTGGCTGGGAGGGTGAACGTGAGGGGGACTGCGGCACCAGATTGCGTTGAGGGTGCTTCACGTAAACAAACAAACAAACAAACAAACACTCCTGAAATCCTATTGTTCAACTCTCTTTCAACACCTACTCTCAGAGGGCAGACCTCAGAGGTAGGTCTGATCAACCACAAGTGTAGTCATTGGCCTCCTGGCTCCAGTTCCCAGCTCTCCACCTTTCAGATGTGGGATATCGCACGGCATTTAACTTCTCCATGTCTTGGCCTCTTCATCTTTAAAATAGGGCTAAGAAGAACATCTACGTCATAGATATATCATGAAGATTAAGTCATTAAGTAAAACTCTTAAATAATGCTTGGTTCATAACAGGTCCTCTATAAATGCTAGCTATTATATTTAAGAAGGACAGAGATCCTCTAACCACAGGCTACATGAGTACCAATTGCCTCCCTTGTCAGATTTTCATATCCCTTGCCTGGCCCTGGATGAATCTGGGCTAATGACAACTACCTAAAGTCATAATTAACAATATAAGGATGTCACCATGAATTCTGCCAGAATAAGGTTTCTACTTTCACAGAACAAACCTATGTATATCAGAACACACATATTTTTCTGATATATCCATACTTCATATGGAAAAAGGGGTGCAATATGGGCTTCCCTATAACTTGCATGAGGACAATTGTCTTAGTACATTTAGACTGCTATAACATAAAATCATATAGCAGGGAGTTTTATAATAGCAGATAGTTATTTCTCACAGTTTTGGAGCCTGGAAGTCTATAATAAAGGCTCTGGAAGATTTGGTATCTGGAGACCTACATTCTGGTTCCTATATGGTGCCTTCTCACTGTGTCCTTACACGGTAGAAGTGAGGAAGAATCTTTCTGCATTTTTATAAGAATGCTAATTCTACTCATAAGGCCTCCCCCCTTAGGAACTAATCTTCTCCCAAAGGCCCCACCTCCTAATGCTACCCCTTTGGTGTGTGTGTTTGTGGGGAGAGGATTTCAGCATAGAAATTTCAAAGGGACACAGACATTCAGACCACAGCAGATGAAGAGCCCACAGCGGGCAGTGAACCAGGGGCATCTCTCTCCTCAGACAGATTCTCCCCTTTCTCCAGCTTGCAGCACTTGCAATGAAGATGGCTTCAGTGTGGAACCCAAGAGGTTCTATTTTAAAGGGGCAGGTTAACCTAACTGATGAGTGGAGGTACACCGAATTCCACAGATGCCCTCTTTGCCACCTTTCTTGGGACTCCAGTCCCTTCTCATACCCTCCAGCCCAGTTCTGTTCATCACAGTCTTGGCCGTCATTCTCCGAGGGAGCAGAGCTTTTCTCCTTCCTTCTAACTCTTGACACGTCACCCCGGGCAGTACAACTCTTTTAAAATATATTTTTCTTTCTCTGTAAATAATTGAGGATAAATTGGGTCAATCCAGGAATTTGGGTATCCCAAAGAAACTATTCTTGCTGCTAAAATGAGGAATAATGCCTTATTTCAGCTGAAATAAAAAGAGTTGGAGCAAGATAAAAAGAAGTGATCTTTAACCCTCTCATCTGCAACCTGATCTCAGGCATCTGATGTGATGTGAGACACCACCAAGGAAAAAGCCCCACTGTTGCCATGGAGACCATGGATCCTGAGCACCTCTCCACTCCTTTCCTCATCCCTTGGTGCCTTCTTTCCAGGCCACTTATTTTTAAACTGAGAATGTTAGACTGGCACAGATCTGGGTACAGACAGCAGGGAATTGATTAAGCTTTTTTAATGTATTTATTTTTCAATAAACCACGGTGACCTTTAAATACATATGTAATAAGAAACATGCACAACACAAAGTCTCCCACCTGGATAAATATTCTGTGGGCAGACTATCAAACTTCAATTAAGTGAAGGAACGGGTTGCAATATTCTCACGTGTCCTTGGGGCTGGCGGGAGTCTCTTTCGCACAGGTGGGTAGAGTTTAAACGCGATTGATACTGTGAAATGTCTCAGTGTGGCCCATTACAGAGTAACTTGTGATTCATTATTTCTACTGCTCTACTGTTGAGGAATCAAACAAACAAAGGCTCCACGTGCCTCTTGCAGAAATCATTTGATGGTGCTGCGTGTAACTCCGCATGAGGCTGGAACGGAAGTCCGGACACAGGGCGCAGGGACCCGCAAGAGGGGCTGCTGCCCTACTTCCGCCCTTATGCACCATCCGGTATGGTTGTTGCGTTGGTTTCTGGTTTAGGGTTTTGTTTTGTTTTGCCATTTGCCCATCCTCTCTCCTCAAAAACAACATATCTGAACAGAGTTCACTTTCATCAGAATCACCCAAAGAGCTCCCTGACCCAAGCTCATTGCTACAGCATGACAAGCTTATTCAAAGAATCCCCCTTGCCTAGGAAATTCATAAGGAATGTATTTCACCAAAAAATAAATAAGAGAAATTTTGGACATAGGTGTCTTTTCATTTTAATCAAATAAGAATTCAATTTATTACTTGCAATTTTGCCTTTAAAACATTCTCAAAGCAGATTTTCTATATGAATATAATAAAAGCATTTTAAACAGTGAGGTATTCTTTGCTTTTACTGGACAACTCTGTTATATGTTATCATAAGACAACTAAGATTTACCATCACTTATGGGGAGCAGTATTTTTAAAGAATCTGGTTTGAAATTTCTCCTGCCCGTGATTGAAGAACTATCAATTAAGGTCCATATAAACTTTAGCATGATCAATAACTGTGACTGAATACAGCATTAAGAATTCCTTTCCAAAGTACATTTTAAGATGGTAGCTATTGTAATGTTATAAGGTCTAACCTGCTCTGTTGAAATAAAGACCTCACTACTGAAGATGATGGTCCAGAACTGTCACAACAACTGCAACTTAGCTTTGGCTCAGCTGAAACTGATCAGTTTCTCCTTGAGCACCAAGTTCCAGTGTATGCTAATTGCTAAATTTCACTAATGAAAAGACTCACAAGGAAAACAGAATCAGAATGAACCAATTCAAATGGACTGATAATAATCATGGGCTCTGGTTTATAAATAACCAGGACAACAATTTTTATTGGCTAAGTTTAGATAATACCAGGTAAGAATTGTGAATTCATTTCTTGCTGTGTCTCACCCTAACTGGCACATAGACCAGGGAGTTCTTAAGCAGCTCAGATTTGCCCTCAATAAACAAAAGTCAAAAAAGCAGGAACCCACGTTGCCTGCACTGTTTCTGGAACTCATCGGAAGCCTCTTACCATCATGATGGCTTCACCCATGTGCTGGTAATGACTTTGCTATGTGAACACCTAGCAAGCACTTCAGCATACTCACCTGAATAGTGGTTGTGATGACAGCATCCTAAGCATGAGATTTTTGAGCCTGGTCTTTAGCTTGGTTGAGGGGCAAATGGGGCAAAATATCATTTCTTTAAAAAGTAGAAAACTACAATTGGCATGATGAAATACAGAAAGAGAGAATTTGGGCCCGCTGCTAGAAATGAAAAGAAATGGGGAGGTATGTAAAGTATTTCCCATGTCTCCAAGTGGGCAGTCACTTTCAGAGTTGCCCTATGCTGAGCACAAGGCTTTGCTGGACACATGGGAGAGTTAAGACAAAAGTCGTATGGCATGATCTTACCAGACTTCCAGAAAAAGGAAGAAAATCTTTTATATGCAATCCACAACGTTCTAATCTGTGAGTGCAGTTGCAAATACCTGTCAATTAGAGGAAACAGAAATCTCCTAGCAATAATCCAAGAAGTTATTATACTTGGAGAAGGTGTATCGTGATGTTTTGAATACTAGCTACAGAAGTCATGAATTTTCTCCTCAGTGCTTACTGTCCTTCTCTCCAACAAAACTAATTAAAATGGAAACTTGTTAAGGAACGAACACAACAGTTTAATAAGTGAAAAGAGAAACATTTTCACACATAGTCTAGCTTAAACTGTTCCAATAGTCCTCACTTTCCTTCAGGCTTCAGCGGGACAAAATTATTATTTTCTTCCATATAAGAAAGCCCTACAATGGAATTCATGTCTTCATTAATAGTGTGACTGAAGTTTTAAAAGTAACTGAATGGAGTAAGAAGAAGGAATTCTGAAGAAAGCAGAGAGAATGTGCACTGCGTCTTTATTACTTTCCCTATACGAACAATCGAATGTTTTCTTTCATGTTAACTGTGATTTACTGGAAGAATCCTATACTACCTGCTTCTATTTCTCTTGCTTTCTCCAGTGGCAGGAATATACACATTGCAGACAAGATTAAAATACGAAATTACCATCTGAACATTATCTTTATGCACACATTCTCTCATTTCCTGTTGGTATAGAGACGTTTCCATTTAAATCATGTTTATGGCTCACTAACCTATAGCATCTTCCTAATTTGCACTTGACATCTTACCAAATAGCATTTCAAAGGACTGAGTATAGCCCAAAAGGCAGAAGCAAAGGAAAACTGCCAAATCCAAAGTGGGAGCATCAGTCTGGGAATGAAGATAGTCATGGTAAAGGTAGAACCAAAGCACTCACACAAATAGGAAATAACAGATTCTTCAGCATAAAATAGACTTGTGAGAAACTAATTGCTGCAGATTTTATCACGCCCAAAATAAAACACGGGGAAAATATCATGAGCATACTGTAACGCATAAAATCTTGACACTTGTGATAAAATACTCAAAATACACACAGGGAGGTTGGAGCTTGTCTTTAATGTTCAATTCTGTAAATTATTTCAAACAGCTAGCCATATTTGTGGCATCACATTGAACTGGCTGTGAGAGGAAGAGAAGAAACAAAAATAGACACGGCTCCTCTTGGAGCATGTAAGTCCCAGAAGGTGGCTTCTGAGCAGCGTTGGCACTGTAGATGGTGAAGAAGAATTGCATTGCACAGACGCAGAAATGCCGGCCAGGAGGGGTGAGGGATTTGGCCAAATGACCCCTTGTTAGAGTCAGGGACTCAGAATCTTCTCCCCTACAAACTCCCTAGGACCAAATAGAGGCTGCACTTTGGTAATTAACACAAATGATTGTTTATCACTCAGGAGTTTAAAGGAGGTTGTGGAAAGATTACATTCCAAAGGCTTGATAGCTGAAAATACCAGGGCAAAACTGTAATTACCAGCTTTTTTAGAGTCCACAGCGCCTCCTCTGGGATTATTTACATAAGCTCACAGCCTGTGGCAGTTCCACAACAGTACAGTCCCTCATCATTATTATTTTTTTAATGCAATGAAGAAGGCTTTCTGGGTTAAAATTTTAGCATGAGCTTTTGCACAGCCATCTCTGTCCCCAGCCAAGAGAGTACTTCTACTACTGGGACCAGCAGTTAGCGTAATGGCTATGTCGCAGGACTCCGATGTAGTCGACTACAGTTAGTATCTCGGACTTGGTGGCTTAAAACTCACACCGGGCGTGCCCAAGATCCCAAGAGGAGAATGGAGGAGAAGGGATTGTGTCATGGCCATCTCCCCGGGGGGTGATTTCTCCCTTTCTGTCTCTCTGCCTCTCTCTATCTTTCTGGCGAGCGCACGTGCCCTATAGCGAAAACCTCTCCAAAAAAAGAAAAAAAAAAAAAAAGAGTACTTCCACTACTGTTGTCTACAAAAGACCCAGAGTAATCAAGAGTACTAAAAAGGATGGAAGGGAAGTCAGAGGTGATAGTGGTGATAGTGGGTGTCAAATCAGACCTGGACGCTATTAGAAACCAGGGAGAACAGAAATCTGAGCCAGTAGGGAGTGGATTTCTAATAGCCTGGGATTTGAAGTCAGAGCATGTAGAATTTGAACCCCAGCTCCATGTTGTGAAGGTCAAATTAATAATGGATTTGAGGGACCAGCAGCTGGCATAATGGCTATGTTGCTGGACTCCCATGTAGTTGACCGCAATTCAAGTCCTGGACCCAGTAGCTTTAACATATGCATACACATACTACACACACCAACATGGATGCATACACACCAGAGCATTTGAACTGACCTTGCATGAGCAATATTTTCACCCCATTCAGAAAAGGAAACACTAATTCTTGATGTTCATTTTACTCCTACTAGTAATTATTTACTTAAAAGTCAATATGCCTTCTCATTTCTGGTCTCATAAAAAAAGACTATCTAACTCATCCATCATAAGTGACCCATAAAAACTTGAACTATTAGATTAATCTCAACTCTTATCTCTAATCACTTTGCCACAGGAAATGAATAGATGACCTTAGAGAATCTGAAACAAAGGATGCACATAAATATACTGCTATTAAGTACAGCATGTGATTATTTCCTGGGCAAGGACTGATTCGACTATCCAGTCAAGAACAGGGAAGTAACAATGTGTCTGCTTAACTTCGTTGGTTGTACAGCCTGATTTCTGTAAGACACTCAATAACTTAGACTAAAAGAAAG